GCGTTACAACAAAAAGAAACGAGTCAGGAACTCGTGATGAAATCCAAAAGGCAAGGAACAAAGGATAAAATCTTTACCTCAAGAATAGCAACCCTAACAGCGGCAGCAGAAACTAGACCAGCACGGCGCCCCTCCCAACTGGTAGCGATCGGGAGTCCTCTAGCTCAAGGCCTCGCTAGCGCTAGTGAAGGGAAACACTCGTAGAGCTAGATCTCCGAGAAGACAGAAAATCTAAAAATTAAGAAACATCAAGAAAGACACTAAAATCACTAGACTAGAGGAAGTGTACCTCTATGATCTACCAGAAACACTTATAGAGCACTGTCGTGGTGAAGAATTGCCACAACATTAACAACAGCGGCGAAGCATTGCCGTGGCGAAGCACTGTCATCTTTGGCGATATTCCCTAGGATGTGGAAGATTGTCACTGTAAATGATGATAGCGAAGCACTGCTTCCTTCGACGGCGTTCACTAAGCATTGTGGAGGTTTTCAAACAAATTTGATTTGAGAAGATGCGTGTACTCGACGGTGCATAATACGCGTTTCTAACTCCCTTATTTGTAGAACTAACGCTTTTCTGCAGGTATCGGCGTTAAAAAGAATTATCTAGGATCGCAGGACGTTCTGAATCATTCTTCGTCCCTATCGATCTACTTTGACCTTTGTTTTTTAAGCTTACGTTTCTCCAAAATCATTCAAAGTGGGGGCTTCTGTAGACACCTGATTGTGTCTCCTCAAAAACCAAACCTAGTGATGAGTACCTTTCACATCTTTGATTATCAAGTTAAGTGAAGAGTTGAAGAGTCTCGTGAAGTTCCCTTTATCCTTGACCATGTCTCTAACCTTTCCTAAAATGTTTTAGACCAAAATCATTATTTCGTGCCCTTAAACCCAAAATCATTCATTTCATGCCTTTGAAAGTCATTCATTTCGTGTCCTTTTTCTAAAAACGTCCAAACCAGTTTATTTTGGTCCATAATCCTGGTCCAATTATTGTGTAGTTGGATGGGGCTTCAAAAAGAGTTTTCCATTGATATATTATAAGCCCAAATCCGAATTATAACGAATAAGTTATGGCCAAAATACTAAACCGAGTCCAAACCGAGCTTTACCTACGACCCAATGACAATGTGGGGGGTCCATTAACCTTAAACACCATTCCTAAATCCCTTTGGATTTATTATTAGCTTCTAGAATTCTCTAGAAAGTTCTAATTTATCCTGTTTTTGAAAACATAAAGGTTTAAGAATTTTACTTCGGATAAAACACTTGTTTTTCAATGATTTTAATTCTAATAAAATTAGGATACGTACAGATATTCGACTAGCCCAAGTCGATTGGGAGTCAGATTCCGTATGAATCTTATCTTCTAAAAAGTATCACTGAGCGATAGAAATATTGCACAGCGATATTCCTATCGCGCCGCGATGGAACCCGTTTTACTCCGAGTCAAATTCTGGCTCTTTTTTGACCCTTCGACCCTCTTTTTTCTTATAAATAGAGGTCGTTTTACCACATTTTGAATCACCAACAATCATCATCTAATTCCCTTCTTTAAGCTATAAGCTTCTCTCTCTCTCTCTCTCTTTCTTTCTTAGCCTAGCCTAAATGCATCCCAACACCATACGTCCTTTGCGAGACTTGAATATTCCAAGGCTATTCGACCTTGACGTGAAAGGTTGATAGTTCTAAGGGTTTGGTCCCCAATCTATATTTCGATTCTTAATTGATTTACTTTGTTTGGTTTGTTTCTTTCTTGAAGTTACTAATGTGTGTATTTTTTTAATAGAAAGAGATACGAGGCATCAAAATGAGTAGATCTACTATCTTTATTCTTTGCTTTTGATATAGAAACCATGCTTAGAATATTATTTTAATTCCTAGTATCATGTTAGGATGCTTTTGTAATTCCTAGTATCATGTTAAGATGTCTTTATGATTCCTAGTATCATGTTAGGATGTCTTTAATATTTCTAATACCATGTTGGTTCCTAGTATCATATTTAGGATAAAGCTTTGATCTTTATTATTAGTGACATGCTAGGGTTTGTTATTAATCCGTTTAGTATCATGCCTAGCATCTTGCTATTAATCATGATTTAATGATATTATGATGATTATGATGATGATTGTTGTGTTAATTAATTATTATGTTGCTTGATTATTTATTGCTTGTTTTTATTGCTTGGTCACGCCCTTTTCTGCAGGTTTAAAGGAAATTTGTACTTGAAATCACGCCTAATAAGATAATAAATAATTTGGTTTTAGGCTAATATGATTTTGATTCAAATGATCGCCACTAATAGATTTATTTGTTCATTAATAATCAACCAACATAGATTAAACAGGTTTAGGGCTACCTTGTTGAATGTATGTTGATCGAAAAGCGCACATGAATATCATAAGAATTAAGTAGAGGTCGATTTAGGGCGGGTTCAATCTCTTTTAGGTTGGATTCGTACCATCATCCCCGAATATCCAGTCATGGTTCCGGACCACTATAAAGTTAGCGATCTCCGTGATCGTGAATGGGGTGTAACCTTCACGTCCGTGAACGGTTTACAAGTTCCTAAAACTTGTTGGCGACTCTTTTATCTCTAGCTTATTTCCCTTTGGACGCAACCACGCTTAAAAGCATGATTACAGTGGGGCTCAAAGTTGATGTTTGTAATATTCCCTACAAGTGTATGTCGAGTGTTTTTTTACTATTTTAAGTTTAATGGTGTGACTGATGGCATGTCCGGCCGAAACGCGAATAACGAGGTGATCCAATTTCTCCGTATCTCTTCTTGCTTGTCACTAAGTCTTTTTTGAGACTCCTTTGTAAGGCGACGAATGAGAAGCTTGTTCATGGAGCCATGGTTTGCAGAGGTGGCCAACGAATTTCTCGTCTTTTATTCGTGATGACAATATATTTTTTTTCTAGAGCTATGCTTCAGGAATGTTCTGTAATTGCTAATCTTATTAGCACCTATGAGAGAGTACCGGAACAAAAAATAAAGTTTGAGAAATCTGAAGCTACCTTTAGTAAAAATGTTGAGGTGTCTAGGAGGAGAGATATTCTTAATGTATTAGGTGTGATGGGTGTAGCAAGACATGAGAAATATAGGGGTTCCCTGCAATTATTAGAAGATCTAAGAAGATGGTTTTTTCGTGATAGAAGGATAGGATTTGGAAAAGATGGAAGGTTGGAAGGAGAATCTTCTCTCACAAGTGGGAAAAGAGGTCATGATCAAATCGGTGGCACAAGCCACTCTGACATATATGATGGGGTTGTATAAAATTCCTTATGGAATTTTAGATGATATTCATGCAATGCTTTTAAGGTTTTGGTGGGTGGCAGATGATTCTAGACGGAAGTTACATTAGGTTAGTTGGGAGAAATTATGTCTTCCTAAGTCTCTTGGGGGATAAGTTTCCGTGACTTGAAGGTTTTTAATCAAGCCTTGTTAGCAAAACAAGGGTGGAAATTAATAACTTATACTAGCTCCCTAGTGCACCAAGAATTAAAGGCTAAATATTTCAAGCACGTTGACTTTGTCTCGGCTAGACGGGGTATGATCCAAGCTTTGTGTGGCGTAGTATCTGGGGGGGGCTATGTCTCTTCTCCTAGATGGGATCAAATGGCGTGTGGGAGATGGAAGATGCGTCAGTATTGGCTAGGTTTGGTGATGTTTATTGGCTAACTCTGTAGTGTTTAATAATCCTTGGAGATGTGTGGTTGCTGGAGCTGTGGGGCTTATGAAATTGGTGAGTGAGTATCCGAGATATAATGCGGCTGTTTGGGGGGGGGGGGTGGTTCAAAGGGGCAGCCTATACGAAGTAGCTAGGGCCTGCCTATTGCAGGAGCTGTCAAAGTGAACATAGACGCAGCTATGTTGGCTAGGTTTGGTGTAGGTCTAGGAGTGGTTATACACTGATACGTGATGATGATGCTGGAAAGGTTATTGTTGGTAGTGTTAAACGATGCCCTGGTGAATTTCTTGTCAAACTTGCTGAAGCAATGGCAGTTAGGTTCGGTGTGCTGACTGCAAAGGAGCTCGGCTTCAGCAATGTTAAAGTGGAAGGGGAAGCGTTTACAATTTTCAATGCTTTAAGGCCGGAACGGGTGGGCAGAACTCCTCTTGACATGGTGTTGGAAGATGTCAAGGAAGCAGGAAGAGTTTTTCTATTTTTGTTACCAATAATCATGTTAAATGTAATGGTAATGATGTGGCTCATTTTGCAGCAAGATGATCCCCCCCCCCCCCTATGCTTCAGAATATGCATTTTTTGACTCTGACCTCTTTCCTCGAAATGAACTATCCCTAACCCGATCTGGACCGACGAGTCACTGGTTATAACCCCTTTTCAAATTTTGGTGCTGACATTTAAATTCGGATTTCTACATGTTTGGCATGTGTAGTTGTTCCATTTAGGGGTGTTCGCGGTGCGGTTTTGTGCGGTTCACCAAACCACAAAATTACAGTTTTTATTTTTTTTAAACTGTAACAAACCGCAATTCTAACCAAACCGCACCGCAAAATACAGTTTAGTGCAGTGCGGTTTGCGGTTTAACCGTTTTTTTTTAAATTATAATTATTTTTTGTAAAACAAAACTTTTTTTTTATTTTGAGATTACTAATTTATAATTCAAATATTAAACTCTATTTTAACCTTTAATTAGCTAATAGTCAAAGATTAGCTCATGTATTTTACTGCTATTATTTTTATTTTTTTATAAAAATATAATATAAAAACTGCAAAATACATTAAAGTGCGGTTTGCGGTACAGTTTGGTCTAATTTTTTTTTAGAAACCGCACCAAACCGCAAACCGCGGTTTGATCATATTCAAAAACTGCACCGCAATTTTCAAACCGCAAACCGCACCAAACCACAAAATTGCGGTTTGATTTGCAATTTGGTACGATCTATTTTGCGGTTTACTCTGAACAGCCCTAGTTCCATTAGGGTATCGTCTGACTTTCGTTGGGCTTAAATGGTGATCTTATATGGATCTTGTCCAACTTTGCTAACCTTTTTAAGCGCAAGTTGTGTTTTGAAAGTCAAACTAAATGTTTTTATGGTGTAACAGTAGTGTTAAAAGTCGTGAATTCATAATATAGCCAAATTAATATAGTACATAAGTAAAATAAAAATAAAACCGGAGGAATAAACAAATGTACTATTTTCTCCGTTTTCTTTGAATCTTAGGAGATAACTCACTTTCTGTTTTTATACTTTTTTTTTAAGTTTGCTCAATTTACTCTTTTTTTTTATGACAATTTTTTTTTTTTCACCTACAATCTCGTTTTGGGTCCAATTTATTTAATTAACCTATTACTCTCCATATCTCTCCTCTTTAAAGTAAAAATATACACATGCATAGTTTCATTTTCACTTTTCTTTAGTATGTATTGCTACAGTAATCAAATAGAATTATAAAAAACGGAAATACTAATTAAATTAATCAGTTTTTTGTCATTAGGATCCTACTTTAACATTGCTAAAATAAAGGAAGGTACACACTTAAGTAACCAACAAATGAATGTAAGTACTAAGTGCCAACAAATGAATGTAAGTTAAAAGCACGCCAAAATGGAAGACAAGAAAATTAGAGTTTCTTTATGAGATTATGAATAAAAATAACATAGGTGCTTGTTTAATTGATAACAAAAATCAAAGAACACATTATACAAAGTGGTAATGTATTACATTGTTTGGTTGACATATACAAGTTGCATTTCCTATGAAGTTTCATTACTAAGTAAAAACGCAAAAATTTGCTTACTTAGGTGGTACCTTCCACATGAAAGTTTATTTGTTATGTTCAACAAAACAACATTACTCGTGGAAACGTTTGAGTTTTAATTGCTTCTCTTGATTAAGCCGATATTATTGAATAGCATTATCATCTGTTAAGCGTGTTTGCTGCCGCAGCTGCACAATATATCATTGTCGGAGCAATCCCCTGCCGGAAAACCCATCCTAGAGCAAAATGAAGCACATAATTCGCATACATTTCCTGTAATAAGTTATAAACATTTCTTCCGTCAAAAAAAAAAACCAAAAAGAAAAAATTGTAAACATTTCTCTTTACTTTTACAGAAAAATAAACAAAATTTAAAATAAATACATAAAAACATAACAAAACTGACCTTGTGTGTTGCCGCAGCTGCACGATATATCATTTTCGGAGCAATTCCCTGGCGGAAAACCCATTGAAAGGCAAAATGAAGCACAAGATTCGCATATACTTCCTGTAACAAATTATAAACATTTCTCTTTACTTTTACAGAAAAATACACAAAATTTAAAATAATTACTACCTCCACTTCAAAATATTTGCAACGATTTCAAATAAAATTTGAAAAATGTCTAATCGTTGTAAATAATTTAAAATGAAGGTAGTGCATAAATTATAAACATACTGTTGTATTTACCTTGAATAGTAATGCTAGAAACGATGATTGCTAAGATCGTAATTAGCAAAAAATTTCCTATTAGAGTGGTAGGAACAAATTTGTTCATACTTTTTTTTTTCTATTCTTTTGCGGAAAATATTCAATATTTGAGAAAGTTCTATGATTTATGTATGTAGAATGAATACGTATTCCTTTTATATCCGATTCTCGATTATAAAATCTATCAAAGACATGTGTCCTACGCTGCAAATTTTCCAAGTTGTAATTGAATAATAATGCTATAAATTATGACTTTTAACAGATTATGATGATATTCAATAATCCAGCTTAGCTTAATTAACAAATGCAATAAACTCAATCCCATAATTAATACTATCTAAGTAAATTGACTAAATTCCTTTACTTAATGATTTTTTTTTTTTTTTAAAAAACTACCTTATAAATTTCAAAGAAAATTTGTTAAAACCCATATTATAAAAGACAAGTTTTGTTATAAACTATCTTATAAATAAATTTTTCGTCAAAACACATTTATTTTAAATTTTTTTTGTAAAGTCCCACCACTCCCGGATTCCTACCTTTAACTATATTTCTAAGCGTTGACTTGCACGTGTGACCTCCCCCTTTCTTATTTTATTCCCTTTTCCCTCCAATCTTTTCTCTGTCTGCTTCTCATCCCCTTTTCCCAATTGAAACTTCACCATTGAAGCTCAGATCTTGAGCATCAAAAGCAAACGCAGGCGCAAGTGAGGCAAGCACGCACACTTCTCCACCTTGATTCCAGAAGACACAAATTGATCAAACCTAGATTCACACAAATCAATTGTTAGTTGAAGAGAGAGTGGTGTTCTGGATTTCAATTTATAAACATCAAGTACAAATTGGAGTTTACCGGAATTAGAAGCTAAAAATTGGGATAGAGAAAAGTCGTTTCGCTTGTTAGGGTTCCGGTGACAAGGAGAGAAGGAGCAAGAAATTGGGATGACGGGGCTTTTGGGTTGCCATTGATGTTGTAGTTGAGGTTGGAGTATGGAGTATGGGACTGAGAGGGAGGTTAGGTTAATGGCGGAGTGAGGTTACGGAGTTTGCTGCCATTGGAGGTGGAGGAGAGAGAGTGCGAAGGTTGGTTGGTTGTTCCAGTGGAGCTGGAAAGAGGTTACAAGGAAAGAAAAGTGGGAGTTTAGCAGAGGTCAACGCCGCAAACCCAATCAATAGTCGAAATCCAGGGAGTGGTGGGACTTTACAAAAAAAAAAAAAAAAAATTAAAAACAAGTGTGCTTTGACAAATAAAATTTTATAAGATGGTTTTTAACAAATTTTGTGTTTTATAAAATGGTTTTCAACAAATTTGTGAAAAACTAGCTTATAAAAAAAATGTTGTAAGAAACTACCTTTATAAAAACATAAATGTTGTAAGAAATTACCTTATAAAACATTAAATGTTGTAAGAAGTTATCTTTTGTCTGATTATTTCCCTAAATAAGAAATATTTAATGACCCGTTTTCAATAATTTTTTCTCCTTTCCCCACCCAATTCTCCCATCCTCTTATAATCCCTAATCCCCTTCCCTTTCATTGTTAAATCAAACATATGGTAACAACTTACAACAATTAGGTTTTATAAGGTAAATTAAATCAAGCACATGGTAACAACTTACAACAATTAGGTTTTATAAGGTAAATTTTAACAATAATTTTTTTATAAAGAAGTTTATCACAAAATCTGAAGTATATTTTTCGATCACCTTCGAAAGACAAGGTTTATCTCCACTTTTTGAGAGAGAATCTTTTTAGGTTTGAATCCATGATATTAGATCTAATGGATTGTTGTGAAATTATTTCTTTGGTGAAAAATTATGCGAGATCGCAAGGGTTCTCAAGTTTTCGAATACAGACATATGAATCAGAAGGAAAACATCCTCACGGCTACAAAAGATCGTAAAATTGTCTCTCTAACAAGGCTGTAATATTCCAGCGATATAAGCGAGAGATGTTCCACATTGCATGATCAGGAAATTTTTATTTGATTCAATAGCTTATGACTTTTTATTAATGAAATTTTTTACCATTAAAAAAAAGGTAGATTTTCAAAAAAAAAAAAAAAAAAAATCCTTTTTTTTCCTTTACTATTGGTTCATATTCCGCAAGCCCACATTGACAAGAACCGGTGCTGAGAAGTCCTAGCTGCAATTTACAAAAGGGAAGTACAAAGAAAGGCAAGAGAATCAATCAAAGAGATCATATAAGAAAATCCCTACAAAATCACAAGATATGATCAAATCAAGGATCAACTAAAATTATTTGATTAGACTTTATTTCAGAGAATATGTACAAAAACTCTAAGGGTTCTACGTGTATAAATAGCTCACAAACTATGTAATAGCCACACATTGACTCGTATACAATCACATAAACAATGATATAATTTAGAATAATTCATCATATCTGAGCATGGCCAGCCAATAATCAGATCAGTTTTACCAATTCTATCTCTTACTTATTGTTCATTGAATTGTTCTTTTATCATAGTATTTATTCTTCATTTTGTAATAGATTAATATCCTTTTTTTGTAGTATTTTATCTTCCGTTTTTTTATAGTTGCAACACTTCCCTAAATAGTTTTGTTACAATAGTTGCAACGCACTTTAAAAGGAAGATTTTTATGGTGATAATTGTATTATTAGTTCTATTTAAAGCTCATCCTCCACTTGATTATGCTCCTAACAACCTCTTAACCACATTTCAAGTGTATTATAGTATATGAGGTCCACTTTTCTTAAATACCGTGATAAAGTCTGCATTACCACTATTAAGAAACGGAGGAAGTATATTCCAACCAAAATTTGTTTCAATTTCATTTTATTTGTGTCTATTTTAACTTTCTAAGTAAGACAATAATCAAAGATTAATAATATACATTTGTTTTAAGTGGGGAAAATTTTGTGACGTGTTCTAATTTACTTAAGGTAATCTAAATTTTATCTATTTCGATCATGGTGAATCTAAAAAAAAAAAAAATCGTTTAATACTTTATTGAAATTTTGTCAACAACTACCTTTTAAATTACTACTTCTGCAAATAAATACCTTTTATTTTAAAGTTCGTGAATATCTAGTTTATATTGGGTTTTGAGGTGGAGGGATAACTCAAATGGTTTAGGCTTTTGTCCCAGTACTAGGTGATCTTAGGATCTACTTCCATCACTCGCCCATTTGGCTCTCTAAATACGTTAAAAAAAATTAAAAAAAAAAAGAACATTATGTTGGGTTTTTGTTTTTGTACCGCTACCACTGGACATATTTTGCCAAAATTTTCATTTATGAGACCCACATTTAATGATTCAAACAAAATTAACTCTAATTGCACCAATTAGACCTCAGTAAAAACCCTTTTAAGCGTATTATAAAACTTTTTCCCTCCAAAATTTCATACCACTAAAGGCGAAATTAAAAGGGACACTTGGCAATAAATAATCATACAATTTCCTCTAGAATTACTTGCTTAAGAAAATCCATATGTAGAAAAAAATTGTGGCTTTTACTCTGTATAAAATCTAAAATAAGCTTCCTAAAATATCGTATTGTTATTACTCCCTTCATGTTTAAATAAATGAAATATTTTGACATTTATGGAGTTTTAGGAAGGTTAGTTGAATTTATTAAAATAATAAGTAGTGGGTTATAAGTTAGAGCAGAGAGAAAAACGTAAGGGGTTTTTGTGGGAATCATTAGTAATAAAAATGTAGAGAGAATATTATTTAAAAATAGAGATAAGTTACTAAAACAAGAAACGTTTCATTTCTTTAAATACGGAGGGAGTATAACTTTTACATGTATGTTTAATTACTAATTTCTCTCGTACTTTTTTTTAATTTCATATACTTCATATTTTTAATACTTGTGCATTGATTCATTATATTTGTATAATTTTTTAATCTATAAATTTATTATCATTATAATTATCTAATAATGTGCATTGGGCGAAGTTTAACCTAGTTAAGCAATATTAGTACTTGTTTTTCTTACTCCGTATAAGTTCAAAAAAAAAAAAAATAAATAAATAAATAAATAAAATAACAAAAAAAAGAAAAAAGTAACCTGATGAAAGTAATAAGGTTGGCCTAGTGGTTGGAGGCCCTCTTTTTTACCTCTTTGATAGGGGTTCAATTCTCACCCCACAAGAAGGATCACTAATTTCCCCCTTACTTGCAAGGAATAATCCTTACATTTAAAAGAAATATAATAATCATTATGTAATCCTAAAAATAGACATCATGTCATTTCTTGACAATGCCACTTTCTACAATTTATACACAATATATTCACCAAATCTTATAATTGTGGTAATTTTGATTCACATAATTTTCATATCCGTGATAAAATATTTTCCATATCTATTACTCCGTGTGTCATATCTTTAAATAACACAGTACACCACATTTTATTCTTTCAAATTATTAATATATTTTATATAAGGTAATTTTATAATAATATTAAAAACTAATGAATCTATTATATAATAGATTTATTGTTTGTACTATATAGATTATTATTAGGAATCTTCTCACTAATTCCCAAACTGGTTATTGAGTGTTTCTTAGCTAGGGTAAGTTTATAAGGAGTCTGGAGGCAAGTCTTCAAGGGAGTTTTGGATATCAAAACCCACTTTAAAACTATACAAAAATCCAAAATTTGCTGCTTTTTTGTTTTGGTCTAATTGAGTGGTGCCACTTCATCATATCAATATTATTAAAAATAATTTACAAGTAAAATAAATAAATAAATAAATAAATATATATATATATATATATAAATTAATGTTAATATGTTTTTTGGAAGGCAAGTGAACCTGGAGTGATTATTGAGATAATGTGTGAAAATGGAGAGAGTTTGTATAAGTTTAAAAAAAAAATGTGTTAGTGAAAAGCTAATGTGGCAGAGTATAGAGTACAAGGTTAGATTTGGGGATAAACTTACCTATTTATACTCATCAGCTGTAATACATATCTTTAAATTACTTAATTATTTAGCTAATTCACCATATTTTATTCTTTACATTTATCATTGAATTTTTTAAACACTCATATGGTATAAGATATGGTTTTAATGGACTCTTGGCCGAAATGATTCTTTCGTTATATTCCATGTTCAATTTTATTCTGTATGCAAAATACAAAGAAGATAAATACGAAGTATGTTATAATTGTATTTTGTCCATATTATTTTTATAAAAAAATTCTTTTTAAAAATTTACTATAGTGAAATTACTGTTCATAGCACGGGACTTAACATACACTAGACAAAAAACCCCAATCTCCACCGGTTCAAACCCCCCATTCCCCACCGGTTTTGAACCGTTCTTGATTTGGGGGGTGGCAAATCCTCAAAGATATG